GCATATTTAAAATTTTAAAACAAAATAGCGAAAATTTAAAAAAAAAATCCAAAAATTAAAAAAAAAAAATTTAGTTTGACAATCGACGGCAGAGCCAGAAAACTAACAGTAGAACGCRTTAACTGCGGTAGGACCGAAAGGTAATCGGTAATTTTGTATAGCAGTATAGCAACCGATATGAATCTTTTGTACGATTTGTTCCGAAATTAAAGCATTATCTTTGAAACTAATCCATGCCAAATTCCGTGAAGATATCTCGATAAATGAAAAAGTTTTTCATATAATAATCCGTTTCGGAACGGGCAGTTTCTTTGATTGCTATATATTGATATGYCTTGCATTGCCTTAGAAAATAAACCACGCCAAATTTCGTGACAATATCGCGACAAATAAAAAAGGTTTCCACGCAAAGGCTTGATTTTGACCGATCATTTTGTATGGCAGCTATGTATATGYTAGTGATTCTATAAGTATGATTTTTTCGGAGATCGTAGCATTGCCTTGGAAAATAGCCCATACAAAATTTCATGCAGATATCTCGACAAATAAAAARGTTTTTCATTCAAGGGGTTAAATTTGATCCATCATTTTGTATGGCAGCTATATCACATAGTGATCTGTTATCGGCGGTTTCGACAAATATGCAGCTTCTTGGGAAGAAAACCGCTTGTGCAAATTTTCAGATCGACATCTTATAAAAATTAGCGACTAGAACGCGTATCTCCAACGTTTCCTTCTGGGTGATACAAACTTCGAGGCAAACTTAACTGTTCAGGGCATAATTGCTTATTTCAAAAGGGTCTAAATTTGCCTTCATTTGCAGCTTACAACAGTGTACATTATGGATCTACATAATTTTTAGTCTAAACATTGCAACGTAAGTTATTCAGCTTAACTTACGTTGCAATGTGACACAAGGTTTTCGAAAAAATAAAATAAAACTTAAGCGCCGCAGAAAAAATCAAAACACAAATGCAACTGTTAAATTTGTTTTTCTTTTAAATTTGTTGCAACACTGCAGCCACATAGATGTAAACAAACAGAAACGAAAAGCGGCAACACAAAAGTTGCACGTTCAACGCAAAACGCGTACCAGCAATGCGAAATAGTGAAAAAAATTAAACAAGAAACAACAACACACGTTATTAAAGCTCTAGCATAAAAAATAATGAAACGCATGCACGGCCCGCCATAAACTTGTAAACTTAATGAATTTCGTTTTTAATATTTGGGAATTAGTAAGAATCAGCTGAGGAGCGGAAAAACAACTCCACAATATGTCGATAAAGTGCTTTGCCGAAAGCGCAGTTTAACAGAACAACAACGCAACTTGTTTTTGTTGTTTTCGTAATTATTTTTAGATTTGTTGTTTTTGTTTTTTTATCAGCCAAACCACTTTTAAAGCAATTTTTACGCGATAATATCATTCTTGAACCACTTTGCTTGGACACTTTATGAACCCCGCACTTTGGACGAGCACTCTTAGAGCCGAAGTTAGTTAAAATATACACCAGCGATATGAAACTGAATTAAAATTTTTCCAAAAAATACAAAAAAAGGTTACAAAGTAACAGCCAACGCACTAATTTAGTTGAGTGTCGCTCGACTTGGACTGAACCAACGAACGTACGCGCGAGCGATTGTTTAGCGAGGCGACGTAACCGACCAACAGCKCGACCGACGACAAGTGTGCCACTAAACTGCACGCGAAGCACATAAAAGGCGCGAATGTGCTGAGCAGCAGCTGAATTGAGCGCGCCGATGACGACAATRCATAAAAGAAATCAACGAACGTCCACGTAATGGCGTTGAAGCAGCGCAGGGTGGAGTGCGGAGCGTTTACGAGTATATGCGGTTGATGAGCTGCAGCGTAGCGCGCACGTAACCAATACAATTGACTGCCCAAAGCCAAACGAAAGCAAAAAAGCCAAACACTTGCTGACCGTTTCACCGCTACGATCGATTATGGCGACTATTTATTGGCGTAGAGTCGCGCGATTTGTATGCGACGAGTGCGGCACGAGTGTTACCCACCGACWCTGCTGTTACTATATACCATATATGTGAGAAAAAAACGCCCGCTTTGTCGAACGGCGTCCGTTGTGTTGAATGTCTGAATACCGACTGAGTTAAGAAATGTTTTGAAAACAAAAGTTTTGTGTCAGYTGGTGAGCGCTTTGATTGTMGCTATAGCTACATTGGCTGACGGACAGGCGGACGGACGCTTCGTTTTAGTCAAAGCTGTATGCAGCTAACCATTCACAGGCTAATCGTTTCGGTTCCAGTTACAAGTTGCAGTRCGGTTATATTGCTTCGCGCCGGCGAGTGCGAACGSATTTGGGCTCTGGCACAGTTTCGTTAGGCGACATTTAAACTTCGCTAAGTGCAAYGCGAGAGGCATTGTTGGCGCTCCACTCGAGTCTCATTTAGCTTATAATGTCTATAAATGTCAATAAGCTTGAAAGTTTTGTTACTCACGTGTACTGGACGACAACGCTGCGCGAGTGTGGGCAGTTGTTAATAGCGACGGACGGCGATTTCAATACATTTATAGGTTTTACGTTTTGTTTGCTCACTTATGACAACAAACTTATGTGGGCCACTAATAGCTGGCTGTTGCGAGTCTTTTTATATTTATAACAAATCAAGTAAACCCCTGTTGTAGCGGAGCTAKAGTTTTGGACCATCGGTTTGGATAGTATGAAGCTATGGAATTCGACAGACATTTGGACAATCAGTTTGGATCGAATGCAGCTCCAGAATGAACAGAATTTGTCAGAGAGTACGCCAGAGAGAGTACGCTGTGCCTCATAAAAGACATTTACGTTCGGAGATTGCTTAAAACTTATAAAAGACACCTTTGCCGGTCAATAGTAAATGTACAAAACAATATCGGCGGACCATTCYACAAAACTTTATAAACACGGATACTTTGTTTATTATCAAACGTCTTCAGATTAAGAACCATTCACTATGGCTTAACTTATTCGTTTTCTTGGGTCTCTCTAAAAAAGAGATTTCATGGATTAATAAAAAAATGTTGTGCAGACCAATCGCCGGAGGTTTCCTTGAACACAGTATGAACAGAATTAAATTTTCAAGACGGTTGGCAAACCCTAACCGCGGACTGGAAATAGATACCACAGTATCATGTCGTAGGCTGGGACGGGCTGATAACTGTTCGTTTCTGTTGTAGTTGTAAGGCATCCAGCTAAGGTGTGACCTCCCATCTGGCTGTTCGAGGSTAATCCAGATAGGAAGCYTTACTATGATTGGGGAAAGGGCTGGATCAAGGTGTCATGCGACTCGTGCGGAGCATCAGCCTGGTTGAGGTCCTTTAAATAGCCCAGCCTCGAAAGGAACTCATGAATACCCCTCACCTTCTGTAATAAGATAACCTTACTTGCGTAACCGATCTACTTCCCCTAAACTCGTAAAAATGAAACAAACGTAAAGAAGTTAAAGGAGTCCGGATCTCCAGTAAAAAAAAGTCAATGCGTCGCCCAGAGAATGACCAGCGAAGGAAAAAATACGGAGGAACGACGTGCTGCCTACCTACGGAGAAGTGTGCAGCTGCAACCGCCAACCAATGAGAAGCTCACAAAGGAGCTCCAAGATTCCAACAGCAACAGCAATCTTGTATAATTTTAAACTTGCACCGCCAGCACTGGCAACCAAGTGGCASAGGTCAGCTAAAGAGGCTAAGCCGTCAACCAAAACACCRAGGACAAASGGCGTCACGTTAGCAAAATCATTTGCTGACATRKCCCGGAACCGCATTATCATTGGTAGGCTRGCTGATGGAGATCTCGAAGGCAAAATTCTCAGCGCCCAATGGAAATGGKTGCAAACTGCGCTGACAAATGTGATGTTGGAAGTGCTATTATCYASCTTGYTGGCTGGRTTCAAAAGTAAATCAGCCCTAYGCTGTGAATGCCATTTGGAYTTGATTGAGGCTTTGAGGAAATTAGTGAAAAGACTTAATAATAGTGTAAGAAGCTTYTACTAGCAAATATATATGGTAAGCTGGAAGCGGTTACTGTTTGAAAATTCGAAATATATATTATATCAATTTTAATTGTGGATGGAATCAGTGGAGCGCAGAGTCTGTTATAGTTTTCTCTTAGAATTCAGAGTTTTTAATGTAATACTGTCAGCTTTAAGGTTAACACCTATCATCACACATCAGTTCAGATCTTTTTCAAAATCGAAAATGATGTGCCAGTCTAGGAAAGTTCGAAAAATGCCTTTAATAAATTAATTAAGCGCTCCATTCGCATATTCATCATTGGCTTAACACTCATCTCTCTCTTAACACATACAACACATATGCATAGACTTGTATATAGCAAGAAATTAGATAAACCCTCATAAAGTTGGGAAATTTGCATAAACTTAATAAATAACAAAACAAACAAAGCAACACCTTTGCTAATTGTTTAACGTGACCACCGCTTTCAAGCCATTCCAACCATTCATAGCATATAAATATGCATTAGTGTGGTGAGACAAGTGCACGCGCGCGTTTTTCAAACGTAAGAACTCACAGAGGCCGGGCACRCATGCGCGGGAGATGAAAAGCAGCAGCCGGCCAAGCGAGTAGAATAGCAATACGCCTAGCGCGGATCAGCAGACAGACGTCTAACTGGCACATGCCACTAATTAAGTCAATAATAAAGCTAATGGCGCGGCACGGCACTTATGCAATGCTCAACTGGAGCTTTCGTAACAAGGTATTTTTGTTGTTTTATTATTGAGTTATCCATAAAATATGGTGAGTAAGATTAAAGTTTTTTTTTTTTTTTGTTAAGAAACATTATGGATACAAGATACTTAATATTTTCGCGGGGTAAGATTTGACGATTTGGTAGGTAATATACGAGAGGTATCTCAGTTTCGAATGTTGGTTCGTCAACGTGGTTGTTTGGTTGGTTCAAAAAGACCGCGCGTGAACGCCAGTCCGCAGGCACTTAGGCCTTCATTACGCTCTCGGGTGGTAACCAAATTAAGCAACTCAGTTGATTTGGTATAAAAAATTGTATATTATTTTGCATCTCAGCTGCACAATGTCTCCTTAAGTTAGACAATTGACAGCCGTGGAATGTGTCCCGTCCTCAAATGGCTGAAGGCTGGGCATTCGCATAAATAATGTTCTAGTATCTCATCATCCTCCGCACAATCTCTGCATTCCACCGACTCAAGTTTTCCCATTTTCTGAAGATGGGATCTTAAAGGAAGTTACACTGTGATTACCCCTATAATGTTACTAAACTACCTTTTGCCTAGCAGTGGGAGCTGTTTGCTTTGTCCATCATTAACACCACCCTAAAATTACCTGTCTCTTATACACATCTAGATGTGTATAAGAGACAGGTCCATCATTAACACCACCCTAAAATTACTTTGTGGTGTGCCTTGGGTGTCTTGTGTTCCAAGACCTGAGGTGTTCCTCCTTAAAAAAAAAACCCCCTTGGAAGGGCTGAATGCCCTGAGACVGCTTGTGTCTCCAGCTACCAGTAACGAGGAGTTTTAAAACAATCTACGAAATCAYAAACTGAAATTGATGTTGATCTTCTGGAGACCAACAATCTGAAGACCTTCACAAAGTTAATCCATGAGTTCTGTCAAGATTTTCTGGTAATTCTTTGAAATACACGCAGGGSTTTTAGGGAGTTAAATTAAGTATTATGAAAGTTCTTGATCTTCGAAGAAATACACTGATCTTGAGGTTAACAGGTCGAAGATCTTCGGCTAATCAAGCTATAAGTTCTAAGGGGCTTACTATAAAAAACGCTTAGAGCTTTCTCCAGCTTCCGGCAAGCAAGTGAAGTTCTGTATTGATTTCGGCCTCGYCTTTCGGTAGTTATCTGGATGAGGCAGTTAAACACCAGAGCAAACTTTAGAAAAGTTATGGTCGTGTCAGTTTGAGAATTATTTTATATAACAAACGTTTCATTTTGASTAGCATAGACACAAATTTCCACACGTTCCACTTCCGAAATGTTTCAGAAGTGATTTCTTTACTTAGGATGTACGCTTTTAAAATGTTTACCGACTATTTTTAAACACCTCCTGGATATATGTAGGTGCATTATTCATTCGTTCCGTTTTCGAAGCGTTCCAGTGGAGATGTTCCGGTTTTCATCATCACCCAACTCTACATTTTTAWACCCTGAAAAGGCTACATTAAATTTGTCATGAAAGAAGTAACGGAGACCCTATAAAGTATGTTTATAAATGCCCAGCGTGTCGATTTAGCCATATCTCACTATATATAAGTGAGCTAGTCCCTCAATTTTGAACATATCGATCTGAAATTTGGACACGTTCTTATATATCTAAGAAGTTGCTCAATTGTCAGAATTGTGGTTGTCGGATTACTATAGCATATAGCTGCCATACAAACCGACCGAAAAAAAATCAATTTCTTGCGTAAAAACTTATTTATTGGTGAAGGGTATTCCAGCTGCAGTGTAACCGAAGTTAACGTAATTATTATCGCATCTATAATTAACCTAAGGGTCTTACGAGAAAAAGTCTAAGTATACAATAATTATAAGTTTGCGATTATTACTCGTGTAAAGCAAATAAAAATATTTTTGAAGWAAAMATATAATTCAATTGCACTTACGATCGCTAAGCAAACAAAAAGATACAGCAAATCAGCCGAGTGGACAGGCGCTGATGAAATTGGAAGCTGTCACAAAGCCACGACGAGTGTGGCGTTCGAAGCCACTCGTGCTGTTTATCGCTTGAAGCGTGGATGCTGCTGATAAAAAAAATAAAATATAAAAGCAAGCTGTCAAATGGTTGTAGAACCGTGATAGCGGCGACTGATAAATAGACGGTTGGTGCTTGTATGTTGGACGTGGTCTTTGAATATACTCCGGGTTGACTGTGTCGCAGTGAGGGCGCTAGAGTTCCAAGCACACTTCACACTTATCTCAAYACTWCAATTAAACAAGTGTTGAACTCAGCACCAAGAACAAGATGCTAAGTAAAATGYATGATAATGCTTGTTGTTRGCTTTGTTGTTGTAGTTTTTAGTTGAAAATTACGCCACAAATGATCTATAATGAGCTACTACGGGCATGATCACGCTYGCTTGCT